GGGACGGAGCGGTGCATGGGGTACCGCCCAACTCACTAGGGTTGCCCCCTGTCCAGGATTGACCCGGACAGTCTGGGTTTTGAATGCTGTGTTTCAAAATTAAGATATGGTCTACTGGCGCCCCATTGAAAATAGATTTGACTGTGATATTTACATATGAATGGGTGGCGCTATTTACGTATGAATAAGCTGTGACTCATTCTCCCCCAGAAAAGTGTTCGCCCATTGCTAGAGTGTTTGGGTTTCACTTGAAGAAAAGGTGGCAACCCTACAACTCACAGACATCACTGGTTGTCAGGAGCTGGGTGGAACGCTAGCTAGAGCGTCCCGCTCAGCCCCTGGCAACCAGTGATGTTAGTGAGCTGGGCAAAAGCTTTTAGCAAACTGTGACGCTCTGGCTGGAAATGGGGTGTGCTGCATCACCCAATAAGATGCCGCCTGAGGCAACCGCTGTCTCATTATAGGGGCAGCTGTGCAAACAATCAGTCACATGTGCTGCAGTGCAAAGAGAATGCTGACAGCAGGAGAGAGCAGTGTGTAAGAGAGGCGACCTCACCAGTGTGCCGCTTTTATTTTCTGCTTTTATTTTCACTGTCTAGTCACATGCTTGGGTAAAGACCTGTAAGTGAAACTGCAGGTCAGCTCAGCTGTCCATTCTGCAGCACTGAAGGCTGCAAGGAGGTTGCCATAATTGTGTAGGCATAGGCTAATACTGGGCATCTGTTCCTGGACCACTCCATTCCCCAACCCCATCCATTAATATAATGGGGAATGGGTGGCATGTGACCCTGACAAAGTCCAAGACCTAATAGGCTCCTATCGAGAGGAACAGAGGGTGTCTAGGTCACATGAGTGAAAAAGCTCTGCTGCTTTAAATAGGGAATTATATTCTCATTTTGTGTCTGATCGCGTTGTTACATTAGATGGCATTGATGAATCCCAGACTTTAAAGTAAACTATGTGCTACCTCTTGACTCCCATCTAGGAGTATCTGCACATTGAGGCTGTTGTAAGCTATTTAATGCTCCCTTCCTCATGTCACAGCTCTCTATCAATCCCCAGATAGCTCATATTGGTATCAGATATTTGTAGGGAAAGTCACTTTTTACACAATGCCACTATTCCCCCTGTCGTGGTTGGCTTCAACAATTTTTTCCTCTTTGCTGAGGACAACAAATAGAAAATATAAATAATTCCAGCCAAGAGGGAAGGAGGGATGTAGGGAGCATAAGTGGAATTAGAAGTGGATTCTTACATAGAGTTTTCACAGGTGCTATCTAGGGATTGCTAGAGAGCGTTGACGTACGAGAGCAATAAAGTGCTCACAACAGCCTCTCTGCACAGATACTGTTAGATGGGATTGCAAGAGGACTGGAAAGGGTCACTTTAAAGCAACTCTGTCACTAGAATAAACATTGAAAATATAGTCCTCCCTGCAAAAAAGACATTTAATACTCACTTTTCCTGCTGCTCATGTCTTTGGTCCCTGCTGTAATGAAGAGAAAAGGCCAGCTGAAGAATTCTAATATGCCAACACTTTCAGGAGTTTCAGATCCCTGGTCCCAAACTTCACTCAGATATAAAATCCTCCCCCATGCGGCCACAAAAAAAAAATAAACCTATCTAAAAATGTAAAAAAAATAAATAAATATATATATACACTAATTTGGGCAAAAGTTTGTTGACACATGACCATCATACCAACATGAGCTTCATGTAGATCCCATTCAGAACCATGGGCATTAGTATGGAGTAGCCACCATATACAGATATTAATACTAAAGCTGAATCTCCTAGATCCGAATGGCATTCAGGATTCAAATTTCCGCATTGCATTCGGGAGCTCCCGAATGCCTTTCGGGTCTGTGAGCCATACACATATACATTATTATTACATAGTATTTATATAGCGCCAACAGTTTGCGTAGCGCTTTACAATGTAAGGAAGACATTACAATTACAATACTGTGTGGGGATGAATTGTTTGAGAATGTGATGGTTCAGTGGTTAGGTTGAGGGGGGATAGGCTTCCCTGAAGAGAAGAGTCTTCAGGGAACACCTAAAGACAGTCAGGGTGGGATATACTCGTATTACTAAAGCTGAGGCTCCCAGACCCGAATGGCATTCGGGAGCTCTCGAATGCTATTCGGAAATTCGGATCTCGAATGCCATTCGAGTCAAGGAGCCTCAGCTTTAGTATTATATGTATATACTCATATCCGAAATTCGGAAACAGAAATTCGGATTCGGACACATTCTGATGCATTGGAATTTGGAAATTCCGATGTGTCCTAATGTCTGAATTTTGGAAAATTCATTATAATTTTGATATGGAACGAAACGAATGGCACATGTCTACTCACAACTGGTGTTCCAATTTAAATCTAAAAGGTGTTCAGTAGGGTTGAGGTTAGGGCTCTTTGCAGGTCACTTAGGTTCCTCCACAGCAAACTAATCTACGACTTTAAGGTGCTGGCTTTGTGTACATGGGCACAGGCTTGCTGGAACAGAATAGGACCTTCCCCAAATTGCTGTCACAAGGTTGTAAGTGCACAATTGTCTAAAAATGTCTTTGTATGCTGTAGCTTTAACAGTACCCTTCACTGGAAACACCTGAACTCGATGATTTGGATTGGGAATTGGATGTACAATAAGCTCATATACAGTAGGTGTGATGGTTAGGTGTCCACAAGCTTTTGGCCATATACCGTAGTGTTGTTATTCTCAGTACAGGTACAGCTGACCTTTAGGTCCACCTAGATCACAGAAAATAACAGACCAGTCTTCTATTGCCTGGTATTCCTAGGGTGAGATCTGCCAGTATAAAGCCAACCCTAAGACTCTGTTCACCTTGTAGCACCACCCTGTGCCTTTTGCTGCACAGGTAATAGGATCCATAATCTAACACATTGGTGTTGGTGGGGTAGTGCACACTTTAGAGTTTGCTGCAGGTGTGTCTTGGCCAATATCTGTAAGGAGGGTAAGGCCATCACTGCACCAGCAATGTAGCAGAACCCCTCAGATCAGATTTCCAAGCATGAAAGTGTGAAACGGCCCTGTGCACACCATTGTTCCTTATACATAATTAGTACCAAGCCGTGACCTGATTCTATAAACAAAAAGACCATTTGTTAGGCAGTGCCACGGAGGGGCATGCTACATTTCATTGGTTTTAGGCTACAGCTAGCACTTTGACAGCCGGAATTAATATAAATGAGTGTAATTATTGAGGTCTCTTTAACTCTCATTCCGAATAATCATATAAGACAATGAATCAAGAGATTATCCATGTACTTCCAGCTCCATGTTGCGTTTAATAGATCGTTCTCGGCCTGACAATTAGGATGGAATGTACACTTATTCATTCGGATTCTTCCAGAGAGATAAAGGGTCAGATGTAGAAGTTAAAGGGTTATTAAACCCTCGCATGTTTGTGCATATATCTACTGCTAGCAAGCAGTAGATATATGCAAAACGATTAAAAAAAAAACCTTTTTCAAAGGGTTAATACTTACCTGTGTCTTCGCCGCGCGCTCCCGTCCAAACATCTGCAAGTTTCTCAGGCTGCTGGGCGGGCGCATGCGCAGCTCAGCTGTTCTGCCGGGAGTCGAGGAGATACACAAGGTAAGTCTATGGAGCAGCGTGCACCCGCACAGACTGCATGGGACATGAGAGAAGAGGAGGACAGTGCTGGATCGGAGACCCGCACCAGCGCTGGAGGGACAGCTGAAAAGGACAGTAAGGAAGAAGATGATCGGATTAAGAGACATCATTTAAGGTAAATCCGTACAGCAGGATTGGGAAGAGGGGAAAAAAGTTTGACTGTAATGTCACTTTAACTTGCCAAACTTTATATAACAAACCTTTAGATCTTCCATGCCGTCAGAAGATGTGCGTGCTGGAGTACACCCCAGTGGCCAAGAACTGCAATGAACTATATTCACAAATAGTTGAGTTGCTGGAATGGATGTCACAAACCAATGTTGGTCAACTCTTTTTATATAGGGGGTCACGAGTGTGGCCCCTGACATCACCAAAGGGCCACACATAATATTTGGTGAGTTTGATTTACAGAAAGCTGTCAGAGACTGCAGACATGATATGGGGATTGTTGGAGACTGGAGCTATGCTTCAGGAGACATTTGTAGACTGCATACAGTACATGAGACTGCTAGAGATCACTTACAGCACTTTTATTAATCGATGCTTCCACACTGGGGCTTCAACTTTAAAATGCTATGATGCACACTGTCTGCAGGAGTTCTAAAGGGCTGCACAATTGGGGCCTCTTGTTGGACACCAGGGTCATAAACTGAGACCACTGCTTTTTTTTAGAGCATGCAATATTAGGTCTTTTGGTCAGCCATCAAAACTGAGTGTTAAGAACTTTGTCTAGTGCTCTTGTACTAAACTTTGTTTTTTGCTCTTGTATTAAACTTTGTCTAGTGCTCTTGTACTGAACTTTGTCTAGCGCTCTTGTACTGAACTTTGTCTAGTGCTCTTGTATTAAACTTTGTCTAGTGCTCTTGTACTGAACTTTGTCTAGCGCTCTTGTACTGAACTTTGTCTAGTGCTCTTGTATTAAACTTTGTCTAG